TTAGGGACGGCTAGCACAGGTAGCCCTCGTGTAGCTTTGCGCGAAATTCAAAAACAAACAAACTAAATGTCTGTACAACGTTGTTTAGTGATCTGAACCATTCATATTTTATGGGTTAGAAGTCCCGAAATACCCGCGTGGTTTTCTAAAGGCGCTTTCAAGAATATTACAAGATTTATTTACTTTCAGCAGGTTTTATCCCCAATTTTAACTCTTAAATTACCTAATTACTTTTATGTTGCTCACTACTGTTGGGGTTATATATATTATCACATTGAGTAATGCTGCGTCTTTGCATTCCAACACTCAATACAATGTACTAACATCCCACCCCACCCCCAAAAAAAAGGCGAAATCAATCATCTTCTACGTAAAATACACAGAAAACCCCAGGAGAGGGTAATCATGGGCTCTGCGGTCACAAAGCCTTGCCTAGATGTATTTCACAGTGCCTTGAATCTATTTTATGTAAACTATTTTTTACACAGCAAATATATATGTATACTATTTTGAGTAGTAGCTGCATCTTGTGGTCGAAACTCAAAATAATTTAAGTAGGTAGCGACACCCTTGCTCTAGAAGTTAGCATTGATATATATATATTCAGCTCATGGATTTATTAGATACCCTACGATGGTTTAGGAAGCAGGGCTATCACTTTTCAATTTGCCCCAGTAAAGATGGGTTAAAATTAGGAAATTTACTCTCAAGAAAAATAGGATGATGTATAAAATTTGATCCAGAAATCAAGACCTTCCAGGGCCCTAAGACAAGCCCTGGGCCCTAGCCATAATGGGAGCACGCGTGGCGCACATTCTCTCACTTCGATCAGTCAAATGAACCCTGGGCTTTCCCACATTTAATTTGCCTTCTAAACCTGCGTAAGATCAAGAACCCACAATCAACATGTTGCATAAAAGCTTAGAAATAATGTTTATACATACTCCGGTAATACACAGTTTATGATAAAAACTCTTTCTACGGCGAGACTAGTTTTAATTACTTAGAGGTTTGTACCGAAAATTCTAAAAATGTTTGTTTGTTTCGAATTTCGCGCAAAGCTACACGAAGGTTATCTGCGCTAGTCGTCCCTAATTTAGCAGTGAAAGACTAGAGGGAAGGCAGCTAGTCATCACCATCCATCGCCAACTCTTGGACTACTCTTTTACCAACGAATTGTGACGGATTGACAGTCATATAATAACGCCCCCACGGCTGAAAGGGCCAGCATGTTTGAATGGGACGCGGATTTGAACCCGCGACCAGCAGATTGCGAGTCAAGCGCCCTAACCACTTGGCCATGCTGGGCCCTCTAAAAATGAGTCGTAAATTTTTAACAGATAATATATTTAAACACTGTATTTATATCAGATTAGTAAACTTTTGTACGGTGAAAATAACAAGAAACACAAGTCGGTTCTCAAAATCTAAACGCTTTCTTTGTTCATTTTTATACATTACTACAAGTTTATTCATATTTTAATGTTACATTTACATAATACTTTATAACACATTTTATATAATTGTACACGTCTTTAATAGGGTAGCTTCTAGTTTTGTAAAATCATTCTGTTCCGTATAGTATTTGTTTTATAGTAACTCCTCAGTCCACTAGATGGCGATAACTCTTGTGGTAGAATATGAAATCTCTTGACTACAAGATAGAATGAACGTCATAGGGAATCGTGTTTAGTCCACGCGAAACAATAATAATGTGTGTATTTAATCATTACTAGATGTACTTGCGCAGGATCCCCTAAAGTGTTCTGTTTCATGAGTAAATAAAACCAAAATTAAAAGTAACAACTATGTTTATTTCTTGATTTTGAACTTCGTATGTCATTCTATGTTCTTCACGACAGTGCAAATTTCAACGTTAAGCGTCCATTATGTGGCGTCATTTTAATGTCTACTGACTGACTGACTGACAGGCAACACACTACCGTATAGCTGACCCCTCCAGCTCCCTTTCGGGGATATTAGTTTTTACTAATAATAATCTAGTTGATCGTTTTGTGCTAGATAATACATTTACATCCCAATCATTCTGGTAAGCTTTGAAATATGTTCAATCACGTTAGGAAGTATGAGTAACCTTTTTTGTTCAGTTGGCTATCAACATGACTCTATACGGTTTTTAAAAATAAAGCTAAATACTCGGAAAACTCGGGACTTCAAACGTTTGTCAACTGTCCAAGTCAGAGACATTGCTAGACCGAAACGCGCAGTAAAACAACACGTGTGGTGTAAAGCAAAAGAAAGACTTAAAGTTAACGCTAACCACTGAACCACTGACAAAGAAATGGTCAAAATCCGATTGATATTTATTTATCTGATAGGAAAAAAAACAAGGATAATTTTTACATAGCAAATGACGAGTCATGATCCTGGATCCAAGATTTCAGGCCCTAAATGGTACGTCTGTGGGCTTAAAACGCTACAAATCAGGTTTACATACCTGCAATGAGCAGAACATAGATAGCCCATTGTGTAGCTTTGCACTTAACAACAAAGAAGTAAGTCAAGATCTCACAGAGAAATCCTGGGGGAAATGGGAACAAGGATCAAATACAATAATGCAAGCAAAAATTATATATATAAATAAAAAAACGTTTAGAGCTAAAAGTTACATATACACACTTAAAATTAAAGATTATCCAAGTGGGTGTAGAAGAAAATAAAAATAACAGTTGTATTTTTTTTTTATAAAAACATAAAGCAAGGAACATAAAGTAGTTATAACAGTTGAGGTGGTTAGGAATCAAGACAGGAATTTCGATATGGTTAGTACTTGATTAACTTGAAAAAAGAAATGAAAAGGTAAAATACCAAACTGTATCAGAACATGATAAAGTAAATATGTCTTAGTTTTAGAGTGAAAAAATATTGAAAGAAAGAAATTAAGACAAGAGCAAATAAGATCAAGGAATTCATACCTTATCTAGTTATTGCATTTACTTAAAAAATAAAAGTCCTCATGTTTGCCCAATTAGTCGTCACAACTCTACAATAAAAGATACAAATATAAACCCCTTCTCTAATGTAGAAAACATTTTCTTATACAAAGCAATGCAGTATTTGAAAGTAAATTGAACATGAACAGTTCCAGTAACACGATCTTATAGAAAACCACTGTAATGAAGCGCACCTACATTCAGCTGAAGTAATGTAAAGGATAATTCATTCCAAGATAGAAAAAAATACTGCTATATTCTACAATCCAAACCCTACAACTACAAGCAAAACAGAGAGCTTTCCAAAATGGAGAATTCAATCTAGAGGAGAAAGAATTAAAGAAACAGTTTATAATTAGTACTAAGTAACAACAGGAACACTGCTAAATGTATATAAGCAAATACATACAGCCAAAAACCACTTTCCAACAGCAGAGAGCATCAAGAAATAAAGGCTACAGAAGGTAAGAGCATCAGCAAGTAAAAGCTAAAAGTTAATATATTGTAAGCATGCTGGAATGTAAAACTGGATGAATAATTTGATTAATCAATAACTTAGTGTCATGTAAAATAATTATCAATTGACATTAGGATTAAATTGATTAATGTTATGAAAACCATCAACTAATTGAAATTAGTGTTTTTGATTACTCCAACTATCCAAATAATCAAAACATTGCCATTATGATTTGTCGTTATTTTCAATTAATTCAAGGATGTTGAGCTTAATATTAGTGGTTCCAATTATAGCTATTTTTGATTATTCCAACTATCCAAGTCTTATGTGAGAATAACTGATTAGTTGAATGTAATCAATTATTAAGACCAAGGATTAATCAATTATCAAATCTTAGTAATTGTTCAACTCTGCTAACATTGAAAGAAAATGTCAATTTATATTAGAGGCCATGACATGATACCCAAAATAAAGAGTTTTATTTTATACAGTAAACTTATATCTGGGAATTTACACTTATAAGTAGCCCAACAAGAGTCATGAATGCATCTGAAAAGAATACTTACCAGGAAATATTAAAACATGGGAATGTACATTTTTAGAAATAGCCAAACAAGAGTCATGGATGCATGTGGAAAGACTACTTATTAGGAAATATTAAAACGTGAGAATTTACACTTTTAGAAATAACCCAACAAGAGTCATGGATGCATATGGAAAGACCACTTATTAGGTAATATTAAAACATGGGAATTTACACTTTTAGAAATAGCCCAACAAGAGTCATGGATGCATATAGAAAGACCACTTATTAGGTAATATTAAAACATGGGAATTTACACTTTTAGAAATAGCCCAACAAGAGTCATGGATGCATATAGAAAAACTACTTACCAAGAAATGTTAAAACATGGGAATGTACACTTTTAGAAATAGCCCAACAAGAGTAATGGGTGCATCTGGACATGTAAATGAACCATTCACAATACACAGTGTAGAGTGAGATTATTCACACATAAAATTCAATGAACAAAGAACTAAAGCGTGTTAAAAACGGGACTCCAGTTTTTATGTGGAAAAGAAATTGAAATTATGAGGCCAACAATTTGAAATTATGCATCATAAAATTTATGGTTATAATTTAGTTATGCAGAAAAAAAAAGTTATTCATTGATTATGTGGCAAAAATGCAACCTTTGCCTAAAGTACTTAACAGTTTAAAAGAATAACAATTAAGAGGAGATTAGAGATAATTAATAAAAATCCACTATCAATGGCAACTTAACATTTTTATTCTTTTATAATAATAACAACAAATACATCTACACTTTAGAAGTCTTTTGACTTGTCAGATTGTTGGGTAACAAGAAACAAAGCTATAAATAGGGTAACACTAGACCTAGACTTAGCTTTTCTAAATCTAGAAATTCCATCTTTGACTATGCAATCAATCATTGATCATGCAGTCATATTTAAATTACACAAAAAATATTGCAGCCTCATAACCTTGTTAAACTTGGAGCTCTGCAAAAATCACGGGAGCAGAATGAGTACACAAAGAAGAAGATACATAAAATCAAAATGTGTGTTAAGTAAACAATTATTCATGGTTTAAAAGTTACAAAAGTTTCAATTCATCAACATATAATTTTCAGTAAGCTTAAATTTTGAATTTACTTTTTTTTCCTAGTTATATAAGACTATGTACTAGTTAAATGTATGGTAAATTAAATCTTAGTTTCCTATAACAACAAACAGAAAAACAACAAGGTTTCTATAATTTTCCAACTGTAGTCTGCACCATATTGTCTTGTTATGCCACAAGCAAAAACTGTTACAAGCAGCATTAATAGAACAGTTTTAATCATAAATAAATCAAATTACACAGTAAAGAATGGGATATTTCAATAAAAATCTAAACAAAATGTCTCTTGTAACGTGTTTTGATTTTTTCCACACAATTTTCTGTACTTGTGTAATTACAATAAACTCTTTTTGAATCAAAACTAAGAGAAAAATAATAATATAACCATCCAAATAGTGCACATATCACAATATTTCAGGCATGGAAAGGTACTTAAGTCAACCAGCAATATTCAAGGGCATTACTGTAAAGTAACAATGACTTACTGTAGTCAGAAATGCCTCTATCTTGGTAGAGTTGCAACAGCTGTCATACTAGTAAAGCTGGTATTAGGTTCAACATCTTTTTTCATTTGCACATGTGACAATGCCAATATAAACTGCTACAATGGTGTGTCAATAATAAAACCACATAATGGTGGTCAACAAATTCTGTCAATAACAGTGTTCACTGAAAACCTGCATCAACTATTCTGGAAAGATGATAAAACACTGATTTTACCATTTTTTGTATGAGCCAATTTTGAACCTTGATACACCCAGAAGTTGTTCTGTGATTTTTCACTACAGTATTCTACCATCAAGATATTAACTTTAGAAAAATATATCAACAACATTTTGTTCTGAAAAAATTTGACTGAATAAACAAGTTTCAGCCCTTTTCATAATGAAGAGTGCATATAAACTTTAACAATTTATAAGTTCTCACTCTCTCTCTGTAGTATATAAACTTTGGAAATGAATGTTAAAAGTATAAAAAAAAATCAAAAACCTTCTGACTACAAACATAAAGAACACATAATAACAGATTTCTATGTATCACTTATTGTCCAACATGTCCTCTGAAGAACTTAACCTTGTGGAATCTCCTTTATGGATGTGCTTTTTCCTCATAGTAGCTGTCTGAGTTCTGTAGACTACTGGATTGAACATGGTCGTTGTCTTGTAAGGGTTGAGAAAATAAATGTTATACAGGGTTGGCAACACTACTTGTTTTCTATACTGAAACACATTTTAGTTAATATATTTGATACTTTACACTAAATGCAGTTACAGCTTTAATAAATTCTATTTAACTGTGGTACTTTATACTAAAACACAGTTTACATCAACTATCCAGGTGTAGATAGAAATTAGACTTTATACAACTACCAAAGTACAAGGAGTTGATAAAAGCATTTAAAGAATAAGGCTGTAACTTAATTTTGTCAGAGATACTGCACAGAATTAACTGTGGGAATGAAATTATAGGTAGGTCATTAGGGCTAAATGCTAGGCTTGGGTTGGTATGTAAGGATGAGCAGACTGGCTGGTTGGACTTGTGGGATCAGTTCAGAGGAAGAAGGGAGCTTTTTGGAATGGATGGTTTACATTTAAATAGGGTAGAAGCTGGCTTGTTTACTAAAGCTATTAACTCAGCTGTAAGGGAAGTTTTAAACTATGACTAGACAGTAGTGAGGGCCAGGAAAAACTAAATGAAAAAAGAATAGGAGGTAGAGAGAAGTTTAGCACAGAAAATGAGTATAGAGGTAGTTATAAGGATAGGCTTAATTATTACTATAGTAATGCTAAAAGAATAAGAAATAAAATACACGACTTTAGAACATTGATAGTAATGGAAGATTTTGATATAAGGGGAATAACTGAAACATGGTTAAACATAGATTATTTTGATTACAGAAGTTTCCTTGAAATACAGAGTTACAGGCTATTTAATAGGGATAGAGTACTAAAGAGGAAGGGAGGAGTGGCTCTATATGTGTAAAATGTGAGTTACATCCTGTTGAAGTTGAGGATATCAAAGATAATAGCAAGGAGACTGAATCCATTTGGGTTTCTATTAGTAGATATAAAAAGAAAAGTCTTTTGGTGGGGATTTGTTACAGACCACCAAATGATACTGATGAAATTAGTGAGAAATGTTACAATGAGATTAAGATTTCAGCTGTTAATGAAATCATAATTATGGGTAATTTTAATTTCAGGCCTGTTCATGAGGGAGAAAGGTTTTTGGAAACTGCTCAGGATGGCTTTCTTCACCAATTAGTCAAGGAACCTACACGAAACAATGCTATTTTAGATTTACTGTTAACTTCAAACAGAGAAATGATCGAGAGGGTGGAAATTGTGGAATATATGGATGCAACTGATCATTGCTCTTATTAGTTTCAACGTTTTGCTGCATGTGAAAATAAGGAATAATGATATTTTGGTTACAAATTTCAAACGAATGCGACAAGAATTGTCTGTTGTGAATTGGGCAGCCGAGTTATTTGAAGATCAGATGTGGAAAAGTTTTAAAGATAAAGTTTTAAATATTCAAGATAACCCTATTCCTTATACAAAGAAAAGGGTACCCGCAAGTAAATAACCAGGTTGGCTTACAAAGAGTTTAAGAGATATAATTAAAGAAAAGCATCATAAATTTAAAAAAATTTATATATATATATATATATAAGACAGT